ACTTACAATTTATAGTACCTCTTAACACACTGAGACGCATTTTCAGTAATTAAGTGATTAATATGGTGGAACTAGCGCTATCTTCTCAACGATGAGACAGTTGAGAAGCTCTCCTTAAGATTAGGTCAAAGAATGATGTGATGGTTGACTATTTTTAAGGCAGTGTAAATGAGGCTCTTCCGATGACGCTCCCTATTCTTTAGTGATGTACCTCCTCGAAATTGATGTACTTGTTGGATCTTTTTTAGTTGGACTCTTAATTCTAGTTAGGCTCGGGCCTGACACAGTAAATCTATAAGACGTATTATCTTATTTTTAAGGTTCACTTAATTTTATTTTAATTGTGAGAATAGATGAGTACATCCTAATTTTATATGCACAGCTAAATACTAGTAGTCTATATTCGACAGTGCTATAGTCAGCTAAGTGAACTTAAACTATTCTGCTTTCAAAATGATTATAGCTGTTGAATATCTAGGCTTGTTTATTATCAAAAAAAAAAAAATGATTATAGCTGTTGAATAACTATTCTTGTCTTGCTCTATTCTACACCCTATTCAACCCTACATTCAACTTTGGAGTGCTGTTTTATATTTCCTTTCAATCAACGTGCATGAAGAATAGCCGTCAACACTTCTCATTCTACAATGGCAGACTTTGTCTCGCAGTATCAATAGACTTTGGGGTGCTGTTTGGTGCAGCATGTATCTCTACTATTAAACTCTTCTACTACCGCTATACACCAACCACTAAGTCACTCACTATATAAAGGCCTTCAAGAAGAATAACCAAAGCACACCAAGAACGTAAAAACAATAGTACTGTGAGAGATAACAGAGAGACATGGAGATGTTCAAGGTGTTGATGTCCCTTGCTTTGCTTTCTGTGGTGGCAGTGTTTTTGCGTCTGTATAAGGCTCTGGTGACTGAGCCAGCGAGGGTTAGAAGGATACTGAAGAAGCAGGGAATAGGCGGACCACCACCAAGTTTTCTACTCGGTAATATGATGGAGGTCAAGAAACCAATCGATGCGGCCGCAAAAGCTACTAAATCCGCCGCCAATAATGGAACCCAACTCGACCACAACTGGGTTGCCACTCTCTTTCCATTCTTCGAGAAGTGGAGACAAATATACGGTATATTACACAACAAAATCATCATCATTACGGTCTCAGGTTTCATATTCACTGCTAGGAAGCAAAATATAAGCATTGACTAACTTTTTTTCTCATGTGTTTTACAGGTGAATTGTTTGTGTTTTCTCTTGGTAATTCACAAATAATGTATGTGAATCACCCTGATTTGATAAAAGAGATAACCACGCATACAACCTATGACTTGGGTAAACCTTCATATCACCGAAAAGAGTTTGGTCCTTTGCTTGGCGACGGCATTCTTACCACAAATGGACCTACCTGGGCATATCACAGAAAAGTCCTTGCTCCTGAATTGTACATGGAGAAAATCAAGGTGTGTGATCACATGATAATGCTGTTTTCAAACCTTTTTGTTTGCTTTGTTTGATGGACTAAAAGTCCTCTATGCCGAACTCAAATTCTTGCAGGGAATGATAAGCCAAATATCAGAGTCTGTAGTTATTCTGGTTGACGCATGGAAGAACAAAATTGATTCTGAGGGTGGACTTGCAGATATAAACATTGACGAGTACATGAGAACCTTTTCCGGAGATGTGATTTCCAGAGCTTGTTTTGGTAGCAATTATGTTAAGGGAAAAGAGATTTTCAACAGACTTAAAGTTCTCCAGGAGGCTACTTCCGATAAAGTTTTGTCCATTGGTATCCCCGGAATTACGTATGTTCTCCACTAATGATTTTTTTTTTTTTCCATCTGTTACTTCTTCCTACAAATATCAAATACTGTTCTTTTGATAAAATGTTGATGCTAATTTGTTTATTCCTATATATTTCAGATATCTTCCAACAAAGACTAACAGAGAAGCATGGGCACTAGAGAAAGAGATCCATAATTTGATCCTAGAGGTGGTGAAGGAGAGGAAGGAAACTGGGGCTGAGAAGGACCTTTTGCAAATGGTCATGGAAGGCGCTGAAAATGGGGAAATGAACCAAAAAGAAATAGACCAATTCATTGTTGCTAACTGCAAAAACGTATACTTGGCAGCGCATGAGGCTAGTGCGATTGGGGCATCATGGTGTCTTATGCTCTTGGCCTCAAACCCAGAATGGCAAGATCGAGTTCGTGCTGAGGTCCTTGAAATTACCGGTGGTGGAACACCAGATGCTGATATGCTCCGTAAAATGAAACAGGTATACTATCTTTGTCAGATTTTAAATTTGATATGACAAGATTAATAAATTAGATATGAAACTCACTTATAATTGATGGGTTTAAGTGATAATAGATAATCTCGTTAATTAAATGAATAGATATC